AATAATAATAATAATAATAATAATAATCAGAAAGCTTGGATCAACTTTGGCTGGGTCACCTCTTCCCAACTCTCTGAGTTGAGACAAGTCGCTTCTCTTCTGTGAGCTTCAGCTTTCTGGTTTGTAAGATAGGGTCAGCAAATGCCAGAGCTGCCAGATTGCCTGGGCGGAGCTGAGAACTCAGTGTGAGATCTCAAGAGATAAAGCACTCTATGGACTAGAACGCCCTGTCCAAAGAGAAGGTCTTTTCATTCGTAACCCTTTCCCATCCTTGGCCCCATTACTGGGAAGTTTTTCCGTTAGGGCCAAGCCTCAACCTTGTGGTGGAAAATAACAGAGACATTTAAAGGGAAATGAAACCGCCCTCCTCAGCAAAATGCTCCCCACACATTTGCTGTGGCCCATGGCATTGCCTCTGCTGGGCGCCTTCAGTCTTAGGAAGCACTTGCGGCTGCCTGACGCCACAGGGCAATTCAGAGGCTGGTAAACAGCACATGGCATTCCCTGCCCGTGGCAGGCATTCATTCGGAATTCTTTGTCCTCATGAGGAAAGACAGAGAGTTGCTCTGTGCTGCAAAGCTCAAAGCCAGAACTCCATTTTCGAAAACCCCAGCCCGAGATCACGCCAAGGCTAAGCATGCCACCAACCCCTTAAAGTGTGCTTGTGAAATAAACTTGCCCAAACTTGGACTTTCTTCTTGAAAACTTGAGTCTCCTTGTTAATTCCAACGGCAACGTTACAATGGAGAAACTTAGCAGTCTCCTACTTAGCCAAGGAGCTGGAATTAACATACCCATCATGTACCTCCTGACAAAAGGCACCAAAACGGACCCAACATTATTTCTGTGACATTCCTGCCCCAAATGCATAACCTGAACCCAACCATGAGGAAACGCCATCAGACAAATACAAATTGAGGGACATTTCTACAAAACCGGTCCCACACACTTCAAAAATATCAATGCCATGCATGACAACAAAAAGCTGAGAAACTCTTCCAGATGAAGAGAACAGGACAACTAAACATCATGTGAGGTCATTCATGATTGAAGCCCAAAGAGGAAAAAAAAGACATTGTGGCCAGGATTGGTGGCAAATCCCAGCGCTTTGGGAGGCAGAGGCGGGCAGGTCCCTTGAGGCCAGGTTCAAGACCAGCCTGGCCCCATCTCTACTAAAAAATACAAAAATTAGCCAAGTGTGATGGCACATGCCTGTAATCCCAGCTACTCAGGAGGCTGAGGAACAAGAATCCCTTGAACCTGAGAGGCAGAGGCTACAGTGAGCTGAGATCACGCTACTGCACTCCAGCCTGGGGGGCAGAGAGAGACTTTGTCCCCCCCCCAAAAAATAAAAGACATTACTGGGGCAATTGGTGAAATTTAAAGATAGACTACATCTTAGATAATATGTCAATGCTTTGTTTCCTGAATTTAATTATTGTATTGGAGTTATATAAGCTAATGTCCATATATGCTGAAGTATTTATGAGTAAAAGGTCATGATGTCTATAATTTACTTTCAAATGTTTTAGCAAAAGTAATGATAATTATAACACCTATATGGGCCAGGCGAGGTGGCTCATGCCTATAATCCCAGCACTTTGGGAGGCATGGATCACCTGAGGTCGGGGGTTCGAGACCAGCCTGGCCAACATGGTGAAACCCCATCTCTACTAAAAATACAAAACTTAGCTGGGCATGGTAGTGGGCTCCTGTAATCCCAGGTACTTGGGAGGCTAAAGCAGGAAAATTGCCTGAGCCTGGGAGGTGGAGGTTACAGTGAGCTGAGAGCATACCACTTCACTCCGGCCTGGGCAATAGAGTGAGACTCTCTCCACACACACACACACACACACACACACACACACACACACACACACATAGAGAGAGACAGAGAGAGAGATTAAAGCAAACGAAGTAAATGTTAGCAATTGGTGAATCCAAGTGAAAGCTATATGAATATTCATTGTATTATTCTTGTAACTTCTCTGTAGGTCTGCATTCAAAATAAATACACTTTGAAAAAAAAAAAAAAGAAAGTTCAGGTACACATTTAGCTGCATCTCCCACATAATGTTTCTTAATGTCACAGCTAATGCAAAATACCAAAGAGCTAAGGTTGCACTCTGAAGCGGGACATGTATATTAACAACCTGCAAAGTCCTCGTGGGTGCTGTGCCTTTTGCTTTCGGGTGCTGGAGACATAGCAATATTTCAACAGTGCTGCCTTTGCTCAAAACATTTGAGACAACTTCCCAACCACACAGGAAAGTTGTCACACACATAATCACACCTTGCTTTTGACCCAAAACAGCCCGTCCACCTAATTAACCAGCCTTGTTTTTTTTGTTTGTTTGTTTTGTTTTTGTTTTTGTTTTAAAAGATGGGGTTTCACCATGATGGCCAGGCTGGTCTTGAAGTCCTGACCTCAGGTGATCCACCCACCTCGGCCTCCCAAATGCTAGGATTACAGGTGTGAGCCACCACACCCGGCTGTTTTTGTTTTTTGAGATGGCGTCTCGCTCTGTCACCCAGGCTGGAGTGCAATGGCACGATCTTGGCTCACTGCAACCTCCGCATGCCAGATTCAAGCCATTCTCCTGACCCAGCCTCCCGAGAAGCTGGGATTCCAGGCGCCCGCCACAAAGCAGAGCTAATTTTTGTATTTTTAGTAGAGACCAGGTTTCACCATGTTGGCCAGGATGGTTTTGATCTCTTGACCTTGTGATCCACCCTCCTCAACCTCCCAAAGTGCTAGGATTACAGGTGTAAGGCATTGCGGCCAGCCCTTTATTTTTTTCAGTTGGAGTCTCGCCCCGGATTCAAATGATTCTCCTGCCTCAGCCACTGAGTAGCTAGGATTACAGGCATGGGCCACCATGCCCAGCTAATTTTTGTATTTTTTTTAGTAGAGACGGGATATTGCCGTATTGGCCAGGCTGGTCTCAAACTCCTGACCTCAAGTCACCCACCCACCTCAGTCTCCCAAAGTGCTGGAATTACAGGCATGAGCCACCACGTCTGGCCCAACAGTAGATTTTTTGCCGAAGTAAGTATGGAGCTTCCCAAGGTGACACTGAGAGCAGAACAGCCATTGGGATGTATGTGTGGTTGTTTAGGGAAAAACCGGAGCATTTCTTTATGATCATACCTTAAATACGTCTCATATAACCGTGGCTAGTTTAAGAAACCTCGATGTATAAAAATTCAAACTTACCAAACAGAAAAAACAAGAGGATGAGGACATTGTCCTGGTTATTCTTTTTTTTTCTTTGGAGACAGAGTCTCTCTCTGTCACCCAGGCTGGAGTGCAGTGGTGCGATCTCGGCTCACTGAAGCCACCGCCTCCCAGGCTCAAGTGCCTCAGCTTCCTGAGTAGCTGAGACTACAGGCGAGCGCTACGCTGGGCTAGTGTTTTTGTTTTTTGTTGTTGTTGTTGTTGTTTGTTTTTCTGAGATGGAGACTTGCTCTGTTGCCCAGGCTGGAGTGCAGTGGCACAATCTCAGCTGGCTGCAACCTACGCCTCCCAAGCTCGACCACCCTGCCCAGCTAATTTTTGTACTTTTTGTAGATATGGGGTTTCACCATGTAGCCCAGGATGGTCTCAAACTCATGAGCTCAATCAATCATGCCCCCATTTAGAACCATTTCTGAATTATATATTCATATCTGAGGATGCAAAGTAGGTGAGGGGATCCTGAGGCCAAGCCTCCTCTTGATTTTTCAGCAATGGCGCAGGCAACCTCACCATGAGAATCAAGAAGCAGTGATTTTCTCCCACCACCTCCCAAAAGTCACTGCCCTCAAGTGACTGATGAAACCAGCAATGCCACCAGATGGATCTGATCTGAATAGTCACAGCTGGCTGTACAGCTTCCCCAGGCTTCCCGCCTGTCCCCAACACAGAATGCAAAGGCATAAGACATCAAGGTTAATAAACAGCTTTATTTGCCTGGTACAGCATCGATTTTCTTACATTCTCAATTAATTGGCCATTAAAGTGCTGGAAATTTTCTTAATCATGATAACGTTTGTTAAAAAGAAATCAGAACTAATATCAGGAACATGGCGATCATGAATAAACATTTCCCCTGCAAAACCCAGAAAATGGAGGCCCCTCATGTTGAGTTGGTGGGTTGGACAATTTGCAAACAGGTTCTAATTTCCTCTCACCATCAGCACCAAACTGGCTGGGACCATCAACCCTGGGTGAAAACAGGAATAAAAAAAAAAAAAAAAAAAAAAAAAAACCCACCTATAAAAAAAACCCACGGAAAAAAAAAAAAAAAAAAAAAAAAAAAAAAACCCTAAAAACACCCACACCCTGACTGCCGCCACCTCTGAGCCATCTGTGGGTGTTTGCTGTTGGAACAGATCCAATCTCAGGAAAGAGGGAGACCTGACCTCCGTCTGCAACCCATCACCCCCACCCTCCCTTACTAACAAAAGCCCCCAAAGTCATTATAATGAAAAAGTGGGTTTCCATTACCCGGAAACTAACAATGTTCAGTAAAAATGAGGATAATAAACACAAAAGCTTGCTTAGTAAACAGGAGCTCTCAGCAGTCAATGCAAAAAAAAATAAAAAGAAATGAAATCTTAAGGCAAATACTGTTGACTTTGCACACAGGCTGGACGAACTTGGAACTCCTGACCTGTCTGTATAGATCCAGGAGCTGACAGGCAGTCGGTTTTTCAGCGCTTGCCACTGCGTCAGGCAAGATCTTTGCATGATTGCTGAGGCTGTCAGTGTGTTTCTCTTTGGAGTTGATATAGGAACACACCCGAGTTTGATGTTTTGTTATATATATATATATATGTACACACATACACAGGCCTGCTACTCTTTCTTTGTGGAAACTGACAGCTCCACCTCGGGAAGCTGGATGCCAACCTTAGGCCCACTGTCGTTGCTGGAAGAGGAGGACAGTCGGGACTTCTTAGAGGCCAGGGACACCCCACTCCCCTGTAACTTGCCTGTCTCATCATCACTCCCAGTCACCTCATAATGACCTTTGCTCTTTGACCCCAATCCACCAAAGGTACCGAATTTCAGCTTCCCCTGTTTCCCTTTCACTTTCCCGCCTTCCAGCGACACTTCCCCACCTTCAAACTCCAGAGTCCCCGTCGGGGTGGAAGGCGCAGAGAACTCTCTTTCATCACTGAATGAATTCGAGCGGTGCCGTGGCTTCTTACTTTTAAATAAGGAGAATTTGCCTTTCGGTGAAGAGGCTTCGGCCTCTGCTTCTCCTTCCAGAGAGCCCAGGCTGGCCTTTGAACTTTTCAGGTCACCTTTGGACCCAGAGATGGATGCTTCCGGTGAGCCAGTGACACCACCTTTCCCTTTAGGTTTGGAAAAATTAAACTTGGGCATTTTGATCTTGGACTTTTTAAGTTTCACTTCGGACTCTTCCCACTCGCCTTGTCCGGCACCAGGTTGGACACTGGCCTCTGTTTTAGGGAAGTGAATATCCACTCCCACTTCTCTGCCAACCAGCTCACGGCCAGAGAAGGTAAATTTGGGCATCCTCATCTTAGGGAATGTTACTTTTCCAGATCCACTTTCCAAGTGACCTTGAGGCCCAGACACACTCAGCCCAGGAGCCTGGAGTCCAATCTGACCTCCTTTCACACCTCCTTCCACCTTTGGTCCTGAGAAATGAAGGCTCCCAGCAAACTTAGATGTGTCCAAGTTGAGAGCAGAGGAGACCTGGGGTCCCTTCCACTCACCCCCGGAGCCTTTAACACTCACATGCCCTTCACCAAGACTGATGTCGGGGGCACTGGCACCCCCGGAAACATCCACACCTCCTTTGATCTTTGGACCCTTCAAGCTGATGCCAAAATCTGACTCAGGAGATGCCATATTAAAGGAAGGCCCCCTCACACTGATATCAGGAGCAGCCCCATGGAAACCTACTTCTGAACCTTTCAGATCACCTTTGATTTCAGGACCAGAAATCTTCCCAGTTGGGAGTTTCACATTCACACCCGGCAGGGTCACGTCACATCCAGAGGACTTAATTCCAGGCATCTGGAGGTTTCCTTCTAGGCCTGGAAGGCCTCCTCCCACAGTGGGGCCTTTCATCTCGCCAGTGGCCCCAAGGCTCCCTTTCATTTTTGGTCCTTCCAAGTTCAAGTCCACATTCGGTGCTGAAATCTGAGGCCCCTTCAGTTCTCCAGAAACCTGTGGCCCCTTGATATGCAAGTCGGACCCTGGAGTAGAGATGCCAAATTGGGGCAACTTCATTTTGGGAAGTTTAATGCCGCCTTCGGAGGCCTCCAAGCTTAGATCAGGAGTGCCTACGGATACTTTAGGGCATTTGATGTCACCAGAGACAGCCAGGTCTCCCTGCAGGCTTGGTCCCCTCAGTGTCACATCTGGTGCCCCCACGTTAAGCGTTGTTGTGGCATTGATCCCTGGCACTTTCACTCCGTCTCCTCCCACCTGCACTTTGCCACTGACACCGCTGAGGTCGAGCCCCGGAGCCTGCACCTTCACGCTGGGAACAGAGGCATCCAGGTCTCCCTTCAAACTTGGTCCTTTCAAGTTCAGGTCAAGGTCAGGCCCAGAGACTTTTGGCATAGAGAGCTTCACTGAAGGCAAGTCTACTCCTGGCCCCTTTAGAGAAACATCAGGCCCTTCAAGCTTCACATCTGGTCCTCTCAAGTCTCCTTCGAGAGAGGGTAGCTGGCCATGGACCTCGGCTCCCCCACCCTCCATTTGCATACCAGGGATGCCGATCTTGGGCATGGAAAACTTGGGGAACTTAATTTTTGCTTCTGGACCTTGCAGATCTATGTCTGGTCCTTCCAGTCCCACACTGGGGACATCACCCTTTATCTTTGGTCCTTTCAAGTTCACATTCACATCAGGGATGGAGACTTGAGGGGCAGAAATGCCAAAGGACGGTGTTTTGACTTTAGCATCTGGGCCTTCGATGTTGATGTCAGGCGCATCCAAGTTTGCCTGCACTTTGGGGCCTTTCAGGTCACCTTCTATTTTTGGCACTGAGATGTCCACACCTGGCATCTTGACCTTGGGAGCCTTCGCCTTGATGTCAGGACCTTCAAAGTGAATCCCTGGTGAAGAAAGTTCCAGATCAGGTGCCTGGAGTTCACCCTCCAATTTGGGGCTAGGGAGAGAGGCCTCAGCTTTAAATTTAGGTGATTTAATGTCAAACTCTACATCTGGGAAGTACATTTTTCCAAACATTGGTTTCTTGGTTTTGGGTGATTTCACGTCGACTTTGAGAGCTGCATCCGGCCCTGAGATATTGACATCTACGTCAGGAGCCTTGAGACTGGCATCAATTTCACCCGCAGGAACATTCACATCAAATCCCTGTTTTTTGGCCTTAATTTTAGGACCACTCATATGAATTTTAGGCATCTTGAACTTGCTTTTCTTGCCCTTGCCACCAACACTGATTTCAGGAGTCTCAAGGTTCAGCTCTGCCTCAGGAATGGTGACATCTAGAGAAGGTGACTTGATGTCAGCTTTGGGGCTTTTTGCTCCAAATCCAAACTTGGGTTTCTTAAATTTGGGAATTTTAACATCTGGCCCTTCTATGTTAATATCCGGGCTGTCCATGTGAACATCTAAGCTTGGAGCTTCAACCTTGGGTCCCTTGAGGTCCACTGCACCACCTTCTAACTTCGGACTGGAAAATCCAATTTTTGGTGCCTTGAGATGCAAATCAACATCAGGTGCAGATACTTTAGGAGCAGATATCTCCAGTGATGGCATCTTTAAAGATGGGCCACTGAGTTTGGCATCGGGGCCTTCAAAATCCAGACTGGGACCTTTAAGATCTATGTCTGGGCCTTTCAAAGTCCCTTCAACCTTAGGGACAGACACATCAAAATCTCCTTTTACTTTGGGTCCTTTCAAATCCAGGTCAACATCAGGCATGGAGATCTTGGGAGCTTTGATATTTATTTCAGGCATCTTGAACTTGGGGCCCTTCAGCTTTGCATCTGGACCTTCAATATTCACATCTGGAATATCAACGTCCACCTTGGGTCCTGAGACATCAATGTCAGCCTTGGGCAGGTTCACATCCACATCTGGGCCCTCTCCTTTGAAGCCAGGCATGCTGATCTTGGGCATTTTCACCTTGGGCATCTTCAGGTGCCAGTCTGGGCCATGAACATCCACATCAGGGGCGTTGATGTCCACTTTGGGGCCCTTGATGTCAATTTCTGGGCCCTTGAGGTCACCTTCCACTTTAGGAAGGGAAACGTCCACATCGCCCTTCACTTTGGGTCCTTTCAGGTTTAAGTCAATATCAGGCATTGAGATCTTAGGGGCTTTGATGTTCATCTCTGGCATCTTGAACTTGGGGCCCTTTAGTTTCCCATCTGGACCTTCGATATTCACATCTGGAACATCAATGTCCACCTTGGGTCCTGAGACATCAATGTCAGCCTTGGGCAGGTTCACATCCACATCTGGGCCCTCTCCTTTGAAGCCAGGCATACCGAACTTGGGCATTTTCACCTTGGGCATCTTCAGGTGCCAGTCTGGGCCTTGAACGTCCACATCAGGGACATCAATGTCCACTTTGGGGCCCTTGATGTCAACTTCAGGGCCCTTGAGGTCGCCTTCCACTTTGGGCAGAGAAACATCCACATCGCCCTTCACCTTTGGACCTTTCAGATTCAGGTCAACTTCAGGCATAGAGATCTTTGGTGCCTTGAGGTGCAGGTCAGGCATTTTAAATTTGGGGCCCTTCGGCTTCCCTTCTGGACCATGAATGTCAATGTCAGGGGTGTCAATGTCCAAGTTAGGGCCTTTGACATCCACTTTGGGACCTTTCAGATCTCCTTCCAGTTTAGGAACGGAAATGTCCATGTCTCCTTTTATCTTAGGTCCTTTCAAGTTCAAATCAATGTCACTCATGGAGATTTGCGGGGTTTTGAAATGAACATCAGGCATCTTAAACTTGGGACCTTTGAGTTTCCCTTCAGGACCTTCAATGTCTACCTCTGGCCCTTTCAGATCACCTTCCACCTTAGGGAGTGAAACATTTGCATCACCCTTTACTTTGGGACCTTTCAGATGCAAATCAAAGTCAGGCATGGAGATCTTGGGGGCTTTGATGTTCATCTCTGGCATCTTAAATTTGGGCCCCTTCAATTTTCCTTCTGGACCTTCAATATTGACATCAGGAGTGTCAATGTCCAAAGGGGGGCCTTTGACATCAATTTCAGGGCCCTTGAGATCACCTTCCACTTTGGGTAGAGAGACGTCCACATCACCCTTCATTTTGGGACCCTTCAAGTTAAAGTCAATGTCAGGCATGGAGATTTTGGGGGCCTTGATGTTCATATCTGGCATCTTGAACTTTGGGCCCTTCAATTTTGCATCTGGACCTTCAATACTGACATCAGGGGCATCAATGTCCACCTTGGGTCCTGAGACGTCAATGTCAGCTTTAGGAAGGGTAACATCCACATCTGGGCCCTCTCCTTTGAAGCCAGGCATGCTGAACTTGGGCATTTTTACCTTGGGCATCTTCAGGTGCCAGTCTGGGCCATGAACATCCACATCAGGGGCATCGATGTCCATTTTGGGGCCCTTGATGTCAACTTCTGGGCCCTTGAGGTCACCTTCCACTTTAGGAAGGGAGACATCCACATCGCCCTTCACTTTGGGTCCTTTCAGGTGCAAATCAAAGTCAGGCATGGAGATCTTGGGGGCTTTGATGTTCATCTCAGGCATCTTAAATTTGGGGCCCTTCATTTTTGCATCTGGACCTTCGATATTCACATCTGGAACATCAATGTCCACCTTGGGTCCTGAGACATCAAGGTCAGCCTTGGGCAGGTTCACATCCACATCTGGGCCCTCTCCTTTGAAGCCAGGCATGCTGAACTTGGGCATTTTCACCTTGGGCATCTTCAGGTGCCAGTCTGGGCCTTGAACGTCCACATCTGGGACATCAATGTCCACTTTGGGGCCTTTGATGTCAACTTCTGGGCCCTTGAGGTCGCCTTCCACTTTGGGCAGAGAAACGTCCACATCGCCCTTCACCTTTGGACCTTTCAGATTCAGGTCAATTTCAGGCATAGAGATCTTTGGTGCCTTGAGGTGCAGGTCAGGCATTTTAAATTTGGGGCCCTTCAGCTTCCCTTCTGGACCATGAGTGTCAATGTCAGGAGTGTCAATGTCCACTTTGGGTCCTGAGACATCAATGTCAGCTTTGGGCAAATTAACATCCACTTCTGGGCCCTCTCCTTTAAATCCTGGCATGCTGAATTTGGGCATTTTCACCTTGGGCATTTTCAGGTGCCAGTCTGGGCCATGAACATCCACATCTGGAGCATCAATATCCACTTTGGGGCCTTTGATGTCAACTTCAGGGGCCTTTAGATCACCTTCCATCTTCGGCAGAGAAACATCCACATCTCCTTTCACCTTAGGGCCTTTCAAATGCAAATCAAAGTCAGGCATGGAGATCTTGGGGGCTTTGATGTTCATCTCAGGCATCTTGAATTTAGGGCCCTTCAGTTTCGCATCTGGACCTTCGATATTCACATCTGGAACATCAACATCCACTTTGGGTACCGAGACATCAAGGTCAGCCTTGGGCAGATTCACATCCACTTCTGGACCTTCTCCTTTGAAGCCAGGCATGCTGATCTTGGGCATTTTTATCTTAGGCATCTTCAGGTGCCAGTCTGGACCTTGAACATCCATATCTGGGGCATTAATATCCACTTTGGGGCCTCTAATATCCACATCAGGAACTTTCACGTCACCTTCCACTTTTGGCAGAGACATGTCCACATCACCCTTCACTTTGGGACCTTTCAGGTTAAGATCAAAGTCAGGCATGGAGATCTTGGGGGCTTTGATGTTCATCTCAGGCATCTTGAATTTAGGGCCCTTCAGTTTCGCATCTGGACCTTCAATATTCACATCTGGAACATCAATGTCCACCTTCGGTCCTGAGATGTCAACGTCAGCCTTGGGCAGGTTCACATCCACATCTGGGCCCTCTCCTTTGAAGCCAGGCATGCTGAACTTGGGCATTTTCACCTTGGGCATCTTCAAGTGCCAGTCTGGGCCTTGAACATCCACATCCGGGGCATTAATGTCCACTTTGGGGCCCTTGATGTCAACTTCAGGGCCCCTGAGGTCACCTTCCACTTTGGGCAGAGAAATGTCCACATCACCCTTCACTTTGGGGCCCTTCAGGTTTAAATCAATGTCAGGCATTGATATTTTGGGAGCCTTCAGGTGCATCTCTGGCATCTTAAATTTGGGTCCCTTCAATTTACCCTCTGGGCCTTCAATGTTAATGTCAGGAGTGTCAATGTCCACTTTGGGGCCCTTGATGTCCATGTCAGGGCCTTTTAGATCACCTTCCCCTTTGGGCAAAGACACATCCACATCACCCTTCATTTTGGGTCCCTTCAAGTTCAGGTCAAAGTCCGGCATGGAGATCTTGGGGGCTTTGATGTTCATCTCAGGCATCTTGAACTTGGGGCCCTTCAGCTTTGCATCTGGACCTTCGATATTCACATCTGGAACATCAACGTCCACCTTGAGTCCTGAGATGTCAAGGTCAGCCTTGGGTAGGTTCACATCCACATCTGGACCTTCTCCTTTGAAGCCAGGCATGCTGAACTTGGGCATTTTCACCTTGGGCATCTTCAGGTGCCAGTCTGGGCCGTGAACATCTACATCTGGGGCATTGATATCCACTTTAGGGCCTTTGATATCAACCTCTGGCCCTTTCAGATCCCCTTCAAGTTTGGGAAGAGAAACATCCACATCACCTTTCACCTTGGGGCCCTTCAAGTTTAAGTCAAGGTCAGGCATGGAGATTTTGGGAGCTTTGATATTCAGGTCAGGCATCTTGAATTTGGGACCTTTCAAGCCTCCCTCTGGACCTTCCACATTGAGCTCTGGACCCTCAATGTTCATACTTGGGCCCTCTATGTTGATGTCTCCTTTTGGTAGATCCACAGCTACATCTGGTCCTTCTGCTTTTAAGCCAGGCACACTGAACTTGGGCATTTTCATCTTGGGCATCTTCAGATTCCAGTCTGGACCATGAACATCCACATCGGGTGCATTAAGATTGACTTCTGGCACCTTAACATCAACTTTGGGACCTTTAATGTCACCTTCTAGATTGGGACCTGCCACATCTAAGTCTCCTTTGACTTTGGGACCTTTCAAATTTAGCTCCACATCAGGCATAGATACTTTGGGAGACGAAATACTCAGGAAAGGCATTTTAAACTTGGATCCTTTCACTTTTCCTTGGACCTCGACATCAGGAGCATTAATATCAACTTTTGGACCTGTTATGTCAATATCTGGCTTTTTACCTTTGACATCCACCTCAGGTGTCTGAACTTTGGAGCCCGAAAAATTAAATTTGGGAAGCTTAAAACGAGATTTCTTTGACTTGCCATCAATATTAAGCTTAGGACCAGAAACGTCCACTTCTGGACCCTTTATGTCCAAACTGGGAGCTTTAATGTCACCTTCCAATTTGGGCCCAGAGACATCAACATCTCCCTTAAGCTTTGGACCTTTCAAATTCAAGTCAATTTCTGGCATGGAGATCTTGGGCATGTTTACATGCATGTCAGGCATCTTCAGTTTTGGACCTTTTAATTTGCCATCAGGGCCATGAATGTCAATATCTGGAGCATCTACATCTATCTTCGGGCCTTTTATGTCAAGAGCAGGTCCTTTCAAATCACCTTCTACATTTGGAAGTGAAACATCCACCTCTCCTTTCATTTTAGGGCCTTTGAGATTGAGGTCTAAATCAGGCATTGATATTTTAGGAGCCTTGATGTTCATCTCCGGCATCTTGAACTTGGGGCCCTTCAGTTTCGCATCTGGACCTTCGATATTCACATCTGGAACATCAATGTCCACCTTGGGTCCTGAGACATCAAGGTCAGCCTTGGGCAGGTTCACATCCACATCTGGGCCCTCTCCTTTGAAGCCAGGCATACCGAACTTGGGCATTTTCACCTTGGGCATCTTCAGGTGCCAGTCTGGGCCATGAACATCCACATCCGGGGAATCAATGTCCATTTTGGGGCCTTTGATGTCAACTTCAGGGCCCTTGAGGTCACCTTCCACTTTGGGCAGAGAAACGTCCACATCGCCCTTCACTTTGGGACCTTTCAGATGCAAATCAAAGTCAGGCATGGAGATCTTGGGGGCTTTGATGTTCATCTCAGGCATCTTGAACTTAGGCCCTTTCAACTTTCCCTCTGGTCCTTCAATGTTAACATCAGGGCCTTCAATGTCCACTTTGGGTCCTGAGACATCAATGTCAGCCTTAGGCAGGTTCACATCCACTTCAGGGCCTTCTGTTTTGAAGCCTGGCATGCTGAACTTGGGCATTTTCATCTTGGGCATCTTCAGATGCCAGTCTGGACCCTGAACATTAACATCTGGGACATCAATGTCCACTTTGGGGCCTTGGAGGTCAATTTCAGGACCTTTCAGATCTCCCTCTACCTTAGGGCCTGTAACATCCACATCTCCTTTTATTTTTGGACCTGTGAGATTCAGGTCAATATCTGGCATGGATATCTTTGGAGTCTTAAAATGCATTTCAGGCATCTTAAACTTTGGACTTTTCCACTTTCCTTCAGGTCCTTCGATATTCACATCGGGACATTCAACATCCACCTTGGGTCCCGAGACATTAAGGTCAGCCTTGGGCAGGTTCACATCCACATCTGGGCCTTCTCCTTTGAAGCCAGGCATGCTGATCTTGGGCATTTTTATCTTGGGCATCTTCAGGTGCCAGTCTGGGCCATGAACATCCACATCAGGTGCATCAATGTCCACTTTTGGGCCCTTGATATCAACTTCTGGGCCCTTGAGGTCACCTTCCACTTTAGGAAGGGAAACATCCATATCACCCTTTACTTTGGGACCTTTCAGGTTTAAGTCAATGTCAGGCATGGAGATCTTGGGGGCTTTGATGTTCATCTCAGGCATCTTGAATTTAGGCCCTTTCAACTTTCCCTCTGGACCTTCGATATTCACATCTGGAACATCAATATCCACCTTGGGTCCTGAGACGTCAATGTCAGCCTTGGGCAGCTTCACATCCACATCTGGGCCCTCTCCTTTGAAGCCAGGCATGCTGAACTTAGGCATTTTCATCTTGGGCATCTTCAGGTGCCAGTCTGGGCCTTGAACACCCACATCTGGGGCATCAATATCCACTTTGGGGCCCTTGATGTCAACTTCTGGACCCTTGAGGTCACCTTCCACTTTGGGCAGAGAAACGTCCACATCACCCTTCACCTTGGGACCTTTCAGATGCAAATCAAAGTCAGGCATGGAGATCTTGGGGGCTTTGATGTTCATCTCTGGCATCTTGAACTTGGGTCCTTTCAACTTTCCCTCTGGTCCTTCAATATTAACATCAGGGCCTTCAATGTCCACTTTGGGTCCTGAGACATCAATGTCAGCCTTGGGCAAGTTGACATCGACTTCAGGGCCTTCTGCTTTGAAGCCAGGCATGCTGAACTTGGGCATTTTCATCTTAGGCATCTTCAGGTGCCAGTCTGGGCCTTGGACATCGGGGGCATTTACATCGAGTTTGGCGCCCTTGATGTTCACATCTGGTACTTCAATTTTACCTTCTACCTCAGGCACAGACACATCTACATCCCCTTTGATTTTGGGTCCTTTGAGATTTAGGTCAACATCAGGCATAGAAATATTGGGGGCTTTGAAATGCATATCAGGCATCTTGAACTTAGGACCTTTCAATTTGCCCTCTGGTCCCTCAATGTCAAGATCTGGCCCACTGACATCCACATGTGGCCCTTTAAGATCCCCTTCCAATTTGGGAACATCTACATTCACCTCTCCTTTTGTCTTGGGGCCCTTTAAGTGTAGATCGAGGTCTGGCATAGATATTTTGGGAGCTTTAAAGTGCATGTCTGGCATCTTGAACTTAGGAGTTTTCCATTTGCCATCTAGGCCTTCCACGGCTACCTCTGGTGTGTCAACATCTAATTTGGGACCTTTGACATCCAATTCTGGACCTTTTAACTCTCCCTCCAGCTTTGGGGCAGAAACATCAACATCTCCTTTGATTTTGGGTCCCTTTAAATTGAAATCAACATCAGGCATGGAGATCTTGGGGGCCTTGAAGTGCATCTCAGGCATCTTAAACTTGGGACCCTTCAGCTTCCCTTCTGGACCTTCGAGGCTCACGTCTGGGACTTCCACATCCACCTTGGGTCCTGAGATGTCAAGGTCGGCCTTGGGCAGGTTCACATCCACATCTGGGCCCTCTGCTTTGAAGCCAGGCATGCTGAACTTAGGCATTTTCATCTTGGGCATCTTCAGGTGCCAGTCTGGACCTTGAACCTCCACATCTGGGGCATCAATGTCCACTTTGGGCCCTTTGATGTCAACATCTGGCACTTTCATTTCACCTTCTACCTTGGGCACCGACACATCCACATCCCCTTTGACTTTGGGACCTTTTAAGTTTAAGTTCACATCAGGCATGGAGATCTTGGGGGCCTTGAAGTGCATGTCTGGCATCTTAAACTTGGGCCCTTTCAACTTTGCATCAGGACACTCCAGCTCAACATCAGGCACCTCCACATCCACACTGGGGCCTGTTAACTCTCCCTCCAATTTTGGCACAGACACATCCAT